ACCCAGTGATGGAAAGTCTTGTCTGAGCACGCCAGCAGTAAAGTCGTAGCATACACGTATTAAAGATTTTTAACTGTACTTACCAGTAATAAAACTATGCCTACGCCAAATTGAAACAATGAAAAAGATTATCATCAGCTCAATCATGTTTAACATTTATTGTTAATAAGGCTTCAATGAAGACTTAAACACGTTTTCTTAACTTAAAGTCACTATCAACAAATTGATAATATTTCTCGACAAACTCTATGATATATATAGAACCTGGAAAGTGTCCACTATTATATAGCCTTCATGTTAAAACGACCACTTCTAGATATTTCCACATTTACCCGAAATTTCGTGAATGCTGTCATCCGCTACACCTTTGAAAACAGAACAATGTATTATGAATCATGCATAATTTTCTATCTCGATATACTACTGTGTAATCCAAGGTTAATTTTCTATCTCGATATACATCTGTGTAATCCAAGGTTAATTTTCTATCTCGATTTTCTATCTCGATATACTACTGTGTAATCCAAGGTTAATTTTCTATCTCGATATACTACGGTGTGATTCATGTTTAATTTTCTATCTCGATATATACTGTGTAATCCAAGGTTAATTTTCTATCTCGATATACTACTGTGTAATCCAAGGTTAATTTTCTATCTCGATATACATCTGTGTTATCCAAGGTTAATTTTCTATCTCCATATACTACGGTGTGATTCATGTTTAATTTTCTATCTCGATATACTACGGTGTGATTCATGTTTAATTTTCTATCTCGATATACTGCTGTGTTATCCAAGGTTAATTTTCTATCTCGATATACATCTGTGTTATCCAAGGTTAATTTTCTATCTCGATATACTACGGTGTGATTCATGTTTAATTTTCTATCTCGATATACATCTGTGTTATCCAAGGTTAATTTTCTATCTCGATATACTACTGTGTTATCCAAGGTTAATTTACTATCTCGATATACTACGGTGTGATTCATGTTTAATTTTCTATCTCGATATACTACGGTGTGATCCGTGTTTAATTTTCTATCTCGATATACTGCTGTGTAATCCAAGGTTAATTTTCTATCTCGATATACTACTGTGTTATTCAAGGTTAATTTTCTATCTCGATATACATCTGTGTTATCCAAGGTTAATTTTCTATCTCGATATACTACTGTGTTATCCAAGGTTAATTTTCTATCTCGATATACTACGGTGTGATTCATGTTTAATTTTCTATCTCGATATACTACAGTGTGATCCGTGTTTAATTTTCTATCTCGATATACTGCTGTGTAATCCAAGGTTAATTTTCTATCTCGATATACATCTGTGTAATCCAAGGTTAATTTTCTATCTCGATATACATCTGTGTTATCCAAGGTTAATTTTCTATCTCGATATACATCTGTGGTATCCAAGGTTAATTTTCTATCTCGATATACTGCTGTGTAATCCAAGGTTAATTTTCTATCTCGATATACTACTGTGTAATCCAAGGCCATTTTTCTATCTCGATATACTACGGTGTGATTCATGTTTAATTTTCTATCTCGATATACATCTGTGTTATCCAAGGTTAATTTTCTATCTCGATATACTGCTGTGTAATCCAAGGTTAATTTTCTATCTCGATATACATCTGTGTAATCCAAGGTTAATTTTCTATCTCGATATACATCTGTGTTATCCAAGGTTAATTTTCTATCTCGATATACATCTGTGGTATCCAAGGTTAATTTTCTATCTCGATATACTGCTGTGTAATCCAAGGTTAATTTTCTATCTCGATATACTGCTGTGTAATCCAAGGTTAATTTTCTATCTCGATATACATCTGTGTAATCCAAGGTTAATTTTCTATCTCGATATACTACGATGTGATCCGTGTTTAATTTTCTATCTCGATATATACTGTGTGATTCATGTTTAATTTTCTATCTCGATATATACTGTGTGATCCGTGTTTAATTTTCTATCTCGATATACTGCTGTGTGATCCAAGGTTAATTTTCTATCTCGATATACATCTGTGTTATTCAAGGTTAATTTTCTATCTCGATATACATCTGTGTTATTCAAGGTTAATTTTCTATCTCGATATACATCTGTGTTATCCAAGGTTAATTTTCTATCTCGATATACATCTGTGTTATCCAAGGTTAATTTTCTATCTCGATATACATCTGTGTAATCCAAGGTTAATTTTCTATCTCGATATACTACAGTGTGATTCATGTTTAATTTTCTATCTCGATATACTACGGTGTGATCCATGTTTAATTTTCTATCTCGATATACTACGGTGTGATTCATGTTTAATTTTCTATCTCGATATACTACTGTGTAATCCAAGTTTAATTTTCTATCTCGATATACCACTGTGTAATCCGTGTTTAATTTTCTATCTCGATATACTACTGTGTAATCCAGGGTTAATTTTCTATCTCGATATACTGCGGTGTGATCCGTGTTTAATTTTCTATCTCGATATACTACTGTGTAATCCAGGGTTAATTTTCTATCTCGATATACTGCGGTGTGATCCGTGTTTAATTTTCTATCTCGATATACTACGGTGTGATTCATGTTTGATTTTCTATCTCGATATACTACGGTGTAATTTATGGTTAATATTCTATTGTGTTATATAAGATCAAACAAAAATTTCGGGACAGAACACCATGTAAAGTAATCCAATTAATTCAGGTAAATGTCTGATGATAGCACAATGACTTCATCTGTTTATCATCAAAATTAAGTTGGTAAAGTTCATCAGAAACTAAATATGAATGGCATATTGAAACTTAAAACATACAGATGGACATGTATACACTAGAAACGGAAGGATTTCGTGAGAAATTGGGACGATTCTTCTGTGAGGTTAGAAGTCGATATCTTAAAGTTTTGATTCTTAGTTGAGGTTAATCCAACGATCAATACTTCCTGTCTCGGTTACACACGAGTTATGTCCCTTATCCCACTAATAGACAAAACATGATGTCTAGATATTTATATGAAAGTTATTCAATTCACAACATGAATTGATGTCATTGACTAAACCAGTTATTACTAATATTAATTAAATAATTACTTTACAATACGAATGTCCATGCCCTTCCAGCTGCTATTACTGACACACACCTGTTTGTTTATCGGTTCTCTCATTGTCATTGAACTGTATGTTATCGCAAAAAATGTCTTTGGTGTTAGAGTCCTGTCAAGAATGGTTAGTGGATAACAAGCTTTCTCTACATTTAGGTAAAACAGAAAGTATCATTTTTGGCCCTAAAAGGAAATTGGATAAAGCAACTAATATGAATTTTAAAATATTTTGCAATATTATGACATTGAAGTTATGAAGTGTATAAAATATCTTGGTATAGACGTTAACGATTTGCTATCAGGTGAAGAAATTGAAGATTCCATTGTTAAAAAAGTAAATCAACGACTAAAATTTCTCAACAGAAACGAGCAATGTCTATCGTATAGGTCGAGAAAAACTCTTTGCTCGGCATTGATTCTTTGTCATTTCGACTATGTCAGTGCTGGTTGGTATAAAGGGTTGTCAAAAAAACTAAAATATAAATTACAGTTAGCACAAAACAAAGTAATAAGATTTATTTTGAATGTTCAAAATAGGCAGAGTATAAGATGCAGTGATTTTTTGCGTACAAACATGTTAGACATTAATTATAGGGTTAGTCAAATCAGAATGAATCATATTTTTTAAGTTTTCCATGAAAAGGCTCCAAACTATATGTATATTTCCTTTAACAGAATCCATGCCTACAAAATACTCGATCCTCAGCATATAATTTCAGTCTCCCATCAGTACAAGGTAAAGAATCTACAACATTCTACTTTACAGGCGCAAAAGAATGGAATTCTCTTCCAGATTATATTAAAAGTATACCAAACAAGCATAAATTCTAAATCCAAGTGAAACGTCACTTTCAAAACAAAATGCAAGAGAAACATGATAGATATTATGTATGTTATTGATGGAAATACATTTGTAAATCCATTTCAAGGACACAAATGGAAATAAACGTTTTAAGCTTTTTTGGGAAATCCTAGGATATATGTACTTTTGTCTTTATTTATAAATATCACTAGCCGATACATTAAAGATGTAGCAAACAACTTATTCATGATTACGTAGAACATGCTATATGTGCCATATATTCATATGTTTTGTATACAAATCTGTACATCTTTATCCTGAATAAATTTATTTTTATTATTATTATTATTATGTTTGATATGCATGGAGACCAGGGGTTAATTGAAATAGACATAATATGTAAGTTTGCAATGATATATGGTACTGTCGTATTTCTATATCCTTTGAGATAGACGCATTTCTTTGCATCTGTTCTGACATGAAATATGTTATCAGTGGGCGGGCGATGTACTTCTTCAGTCTGTCCTGTTGTGGGATATGTAAATTAGAGTAAGGTATTTCTTGGCTACGGGATCGGGTGTCATAGAAGTCGGAACATTCATCATTTATCAAAGTATAGATTTTTATACAGATAAACAGAATATGAGATATTCCTTTCAAATAGATGTTAGAATAAAACAAGTTCAACACAAGACGATTGGTCTCTAGCTCTTTCAGTATTAGTTAGTAGGTCAGTTGTGGTACTGGTCAGTAGGTCAGTTGTGGTACTGGTCAGTAGGCCAGCAGTGGTATAGGTCAGTAGGACAGCAGTGGTACTGGTCAGTAGGCCAGCAGTGGTACTGGTCAGTAGGACAGCAGTGGTACTGGTCAGTAGGTCAGTTGTGGTACTGGTCAGTAGGTCAGTTGTGGTACTGGTCAGTAGGCCAACAGTGGTATAGGTCAGTAGGACAGCAGTGGTACTGGTCAGTAGGACAGCTGTGGTCCTGGTCAGTAGGCCAGCAGTGGTATAGGTCAGTAGGACAGCAGTGGTACTGGTCAGTAGGCCAGCACTGGTATAGGTCGGTAGGACAGCAGTGGTCCTGGTCAGTAGGTCAGTTGTGGTACTGGTCAGTAGGCCAACAGTGGTACTGGTCAGTAGGACAGCAGTGGTACTGGTCAGTAGGCCAGTTGTGGTCCTGGTCAGTAGGCCAGCAGTGGTATAGGTCAGTAGGCCAACAGTGGTACTGGTCAGTAGGACAGCTGTGGTACTGGTCAGTAGGACACTTGTGGTCCTGGTCAGTAGGCCAGCACTGGTATAGGTCAGTAGGCCAGCTGTGGTACTGGTCAGTAGGACAGCAGTGGTCCTGGTCAGTAGGCCAGCAGTGGTACTGGTCAGTAGGCCAGCAGTGGTACTGGTCAGTAGGCCAGCAGTGGTACTGGTCAGTAGGACAGCAGTGGTCCTGGTCAGTAGGCCAGCTGTGGTACTGGTCAGTAGGACAGCAGTGGTCCTGGTCAGTAGGGGTACTGGTCAGTAGGCCAACAGTGGTACTGGTCAGTAGGACAGCAGTGGTCCTGGTCAGTAGGCCAGCTGTGGTACTGGTCAGTAGGACAGCAGTGGTACTGGTCAGTAGGACAGCAGTGGTCCTGGTCAGTAGGCCAGCAGTGGTATAGGTCGGTAGGCCAACAGTGGTACTGGTCAGTAGCACAGCAGTTTTCCTGGTCAGTAGGATAGATACAACAGTAGCATCAGATATAACATTAGTGAGGACTGTAGGATCGGATTTAACATTAGTGAGGACTGTAGGATCAGATATAACATTAGTGAGGACTGTAGGATCAGATTTAACATTAGTGAGGACTGTAGGATCAGATATAACATTAGTGAGGACTGTAGGATCAGATTTAACATTAGTGAGGACTGTAGGATCAGATATAACATTAGTGAGGACTGTAGGATCAGATTTAACATTAGTGAGGACTGTAGGATTAGATATAACATTAGTGAGGACTGTAGGATTAGATATAACATTAGTGAGGTCAGTATCTAATAAACTTGATCTAGTATCACCTACACGTGTAGGATCAGATATAACATTAGTGAGGTCAGGATCTAATAAACTTGATCTAGTATCACCTACACATGTAGGATCAGATATAATATTGGTGAGGTCAGGATCTAATAAACTTGATCTAGTATCACCTACACGTGTAGGATCAAATATAACATTAGTGAGGTCAGTATCTAATAAACTTGATCTTATATCACCTACACGTGTAGGATCAAATATAACATTAGTGAGGACTGTAGGATTAGATATAACATTAGTGAGGTCAGTATCTAATAAACTTGATCTAGTATCACCTACACGTGTAGGATCAGATATAACATTAGTGAGGACTGTAGGATTAGATATAACATTAGTGAGGACTGTAGGATCAGATTTAACATTAGTGAGGTCAGTATCTAATAAACTTGATCTAGTATCACCTACACATGTAGGATCAGATATAATATTGGTGAGGTCAGGATCTAATAAACTTGATCTAGTATCACCTACACGTGTAGGATCAGATATAACATTAGTGAGGACTGTAGGATCAGATTTAACATTAGTGAGGACTGTAGGATCAGATTTAACATTAGTGAGGACTGTAGGATCAGATTTAACATTAGTGAGGACTGTAGGATCAGATTTAACATTAGTGAGGACTGTAGGATCAGATTTAACATTAGTGAGGACTGTAGGATCAGATTTAACATTAGTGAAGACTGTAGGATCAGATTTAACATTAGTGAGGACTGTAGGATCAGATTTAACATTAGTGAGGACTGTAGGATCAGATATAACATTAGTGAGGACTGTATCTAATAAACTTGATCTTATATCACCTACACGTGTAGGATCAAATATAACATTAGTGAGGACTGTAGGATTAGATATAACATTAGTGAGGACTGTAGGATCAGATATAACATTAGTGAGGACTGTAGGATCAGATATAACATTAGTGAGGACTGTAGGATCAGATTTAACATTAGTGAGGACTGTAGGATTAGATATAACATTAGTGAGGTCAGTATCTAATAAACTTGATCTAGTATCACCTACATGTGTAGGGTCAGATATAACATTAGTGAGGTCAGGATCTAATAAACTTGATCTAGTATCACCTACACGTGTAGGATCAGATATAACATTAGTGAGGACTGTAGGATCAGATATAATATTGGTGAGGTCAGGATCTAATAAACTTGATCTTATATCACCTACACGTGTAGGATCAAATATAACATTAGTGAGGACTGTAGGATTAGATATAACATTAGTGAGGTCAGTATCTAATAAACTTGATCTAGTATCACCTACACGTGTAGGGTCAGATATAACATTAGTGAGGTCAGTATCTAATAAACTTGATCTAGTATCACCTACACATGTAGGGTCAGATATAATATTAGTGAGGACTGTAGGATTAGATATAACATTAGTGAGGACTGTAGGATCAGATGTAACATTAGTGAGGACTGTAGGATCAGATTTAACATTAGTGAGGACTGTAGGATCAGATATAACATTAGTGAGGACTGTAGGATCAGATATAACATTAGTGAGGACTGTAGGATCAGATTTAACATTAGTGAGGACTGTAGGATCAGATTTAACATTAATGAGGACTGTAGGATCAGATATAACATTAGTGAGGAATGTAGGATCAGATTTAACATTAGTGAGGACTGTAGGATCAGATTTAACATTAGTGAAGACTGTAGGATCAGATATAACATTAGTGAGGACTGTAGGATCAGATTTAACATTAGTGAGGACTGTAGGATCAGATATAACATTAGTGAGGACTGTAGGATCAGATTTAACATTAGTGAGGACTGTAGGATCAGATATAACATTAGTGAGGACTGTAGGATCAGATATAACATTAGTGAGGACTGTAGGATCAGATTTAACATTAGTGAGGTCAGGATCTAATAAACTTGATCTAGTATCACCTACACATGTAGGATCAGATATAATATTAGTGAGGTCAGGATCTAATACTCTAGATCTAGTATCACTTTAACACGTGATAGGGCGAGGATATGAAATCAACATTTCAATCTTCTAACAAGCTAACATTTTTCGATCATTGTTTAGAGAAATCGGGGATCAAATCAAATTTGATGAGTTGTGATGCTATGTGTTTTTTGTTATCGGTAATACAATTTTTCATCCATTACACCTAATTATTGGGAAATTCTAGATTGAATTCCATGTACCAGAATACCATCTCCATCACATTTCTATCACGTCTGTATAATGGAAAGTGGAAACCTTCCATCTGTAAATCACCGATAGAAACCTCAGCATCCCAAATTTTTTTTTCTGTAAGATGTTTGACATTCACTAGCGATATTTTCTGTGAACTCTAATTCATTTCTGACACTTCTGATATTCAGATAAAAAAATCAGTTTCTCCAGAATCAGGACCTGGGTTAGAATTAACATCAATATGGTGTAGCATTGTATAGAAAATATCAGAGTTTCTCCAGAATCAGGACCTGGGTTAGAATTAACATCAATATGATGTAGCATTGTATAGAAAATATCAGAGTTTCTCCAGAATCAGGACCTGGGTTAGAATTAACATCAATATGATGTAGCATTGTATAGAAAATATCAGAGTTTCTCCAGAATCAGGAGAATTAACATCAATATGGTGTAGCATTGTATAGAAAATATCAGAGTTTCTCCAGAATCAGGACCTGGGTTATAGAATTAACATCAATATGATGTAGCATTGTATAGGAAAAAAATCATTTTTTAAGACAGGTTAGTAGGTAAGTGTTCGTTATGATTGCAAATTTATGAATTTTATGTGTGATAACTCCTACAGGGATACAATAGATTGTCATCAGTTTTACTCAGATACATAACAAATAGGGGTCATAACATTCCTTATACATAATGGATACGATTCGATCACAATTAAACTTTGTTTTAACATTGGTGTAGTACAGCATATATGCAAAATAATATAGACCATCAGGATTTGTTTGAGAAACTATATGAACTCGTATTAATATTTAACGGTTGTATATTCTAGAATAAATACTGGTGTGAGAAATATCAGATTTTGTTGTTGTTTATCTCATACTCCTATCAACTAACAGATGTACACCATAATTAATATTCCGTGAACATTAGTGTATAGGACATCAAGTATACATAGCGATACTATAATACAATGTATGTGATCGATAAACTGAGGTACATTAAACAATAGGTGTCCTGTTAAAAAGCTTGGAAATCGACTCGAGAGCAGAATGTGCAGGAGTTACTGCCCTTGGATAACATCTCTAGAAGTAAACAACAGCACCTACATCACGGAGTGACCAGGTAAAACGGGTGACATACCTACCGCCTAAACGTTGTGTACGTCACCGCGTGGAGACGAGGTACATAAGGTAGGTGGAGATTCTAAGCGGACACGCCCTCTTTTTAATTCCCCACATACGTAAGATGCGATTTCAAGACATTTTATTTGTCAATATTTAGCTCGTGATAATAAATTTGCCCATACCTAGTTAAGATTGTCTAGCTTCTTAACATATACAACTGTACCTGTTGCAGATCTAGATATCTTAAAGCTTGTTTGTAGATTAGAACAAGGAATCGGACGCTCTATTGATGAAATATAGATATTACACTGCTAAAGTAGCAGGAATCATATAAAACATTATATTAGTAATGGTGATAGAATAGGGAAAATATCTTGTTTGGAGTAGATGATAGATAATTTTATATTAGATGAGGGAGATGGTATCTTGTTCGGAATAAGTGATGAGAAACAATTTTGTGGTGGTGGTTGATGAGGGAGATGACACGCTGTTAGGAGTAGATGACTGGAAATAATTTTGTGGTGTTGGTAGATGAGGGAGATGACACTCTGTTTTGAGTAGATGACAAGAAATAATTTTGTGGTGGTGGTAAAGAGGGAGATGATATCTTGTTCGGAATAAGTGATGATGAATAATTTTGTGGTGGTGGTAGATGAGGGAGATGACACATTGTTTGGAGTAAATAACAAGAAATTTTTTGTGGTGTTGGTAGATGAGGGAGATGACATTCTGTTATGAGTAGATGACAAGAAATAATTTTGTGGTGTTGGTAGATGAGGGAGATGACACATTGTTTTGAGTAGATGACAAGAAATAATTTTGTGGTGGTGGTAGATGAGGGAGATGACACGCTGCTTCGAGTAGATGATGAGAAATAATTATGTGGTGTTGGTAGATGAGGGAGATGACACGCTGCTTCGAGTAGATGATGAGAAATAATTTTGTGGTGGACGTAGATGAGGGAGATGACACACTGTTTGGAGTAGATGATGAGAAATAATTTTGTGGTGGAGGTAGATGAGGGAGATGACACACTGTTTGGAGTAGATGATAAGAAATAATTTTGTGGTGGAGGTAGATGATATCTTGTTTGTAGTAGATAAGTAAAACATAAAGCAAGTAGATTATATACACTAAAAAAGTGATCAAATCAGATATACTGGACAAGAAAAGAGAATGTTGTGTTGTAGATCAGAGCTGATAATTCATATCAGGCAGAGCTTGGAGTTCACCAATAAATGTTGTAACAGATTTCAGTTAGAAGAATCAGCTGCAAACTTCAATAGGTCAGTTATGGTCATTGTAATGTAACAACCAAAATCTTCACGACCAAAATCTTCACGACCAAAATCTTCACGTTCATGTTAACCGTGTACTGTAGGCTGTACATTGTATGATGTTTGACAGCTATAAATATATTCCTGTCATGGTTCACTGGGCACAATGCTTCACAAGGCATACAATACAGAAAGTCTGGATCCTGTTTTCTCGGTTAAAATTTAGAACATTACTATTGCCTTAATAGATCATATCAACGTTAGCTTACAGTGATAACTGGTTACACCCTGACCTGTACAGGTAAACCCATTGCTTTTCAAACTTTATTTATTTATTATCATTTATTTATTATTTATGCAGTATTATTTTTTATCATTTACACCTAAATTATGATTTGTTGTTAACTTTGTAATAATTGATTTTTGTAGAATATTTATGTCATTAGTAAGGCCTGTTATTGTGAACAACTTTTATAGGCCTAGAGCTCCATTCATTACCTTTGATTAGAAATCTAATTCTAACGAGGAGCTTTAATTATTGTTGTTAAACTTCATCAAGTTTCAATTTCACTGACTTCAATAAGACATTATGCTGTTGAGTCTCATGTATTTACTAAGCTTCACATTTTGATCCATGGTGACAGAAATATCATTAAATAGTCATTTTTAACAACTTATTCCAGTGGTTCATGTCAATAACTAAAAGTAGCTACACTTTGATATACATTTGGAATCTTCCTGTCACTATAAAAATAAAAACTAGAAACTATAGACCCGTAGAATACAAGGCTTGGCATCTTGGTATCACTTACAACTCAGCTGTAACATAGATAGATTGACTTAACTGTTTATAGTAGAATGTGGCTCTGATGGTACAAATGAAATTTAAGGTCACACACAAATTGTTCGGGTCAATATAAGACTTAAGCTAAATATATATGTGTAAAAGTTTGTGTACATTTGCTGGGGTTTAATGAATCTGGCGAGTTAACATGTTTATTTCATAGAGTGATATTTTTTCCCTGATCAGTTTCACTTAGAAGTATGAAATAAGATAAATTATTATGGACATGGTACACAGTCTCAGTCATCTGGAAACTTTAAACTCTGATATTATACTTCAAGTTTATACTTATCAGTGATAAAAAAGTCACTCTTGCAAATCTGAATCAATCAGGCATGAATGTAATTTCATTACTGAAGCTGATACCAGGTTAAATATGTAAATTGTAAAAATTTGTAGGATACAGCAAGGACAAATAATCATATGTCTTTGTTATAATGTTATAATATATGTCTATATTGCTGGATTTTTCATCAATGTTTATAACCATCGTGATATGTTTAAATGGGCAGATAATTTTTCATACAAAATATTTCCATAATGTATGATAAAGGTATGATGTCCTGATTTCTTCATCCTCAAATACAAGCTGTGAAAGATGCAGACCTCATAAATAGTCATGCAGAAATGAAATTTGAATTTTTGCCAAATGAGAAAATGATGGTTGAGAGAATAATCGTGACTAGTGGATGTTCTATATATATGTAAAATTAAAGTGATCTTAGATAAAAGTTTTTTTTTTATCACAATCTCCATTACATGCTATAACTTAAGTATCAGACTGAGAACATTTTGCCTTCTCCTGTTATAATTTACTTGCGATTCAAATCCCTTCATGATTGACATGGAAAATCGGGATTTTTAAATTGGTTTGATGAATACCTTCAATGATATCTGGGTGTGATTCAGACGTGACGACCGTGTTTACCTGTAATGTGTAGGTCCATACTGTAGTCCTTATACTGTTATATAGAGGATCATACAGTGGGTGAGTGTCATATTCTAAATTGATAATTTCGTTTACTAATGCTGGTACACCTGATTCCTGGTTAGAAGTACCTACTGGTTTTATATGACTGTATGTTAGGATTGGCTACTGCCTTCTGATGTATATTGCTACATTTCATATCCAGAATTACGTTTTTTGTTATAGATTATGCAATTATTTAATAGTTATTAATACCCAGTGTTAGGAGAGTTTAGATGACAATATCTGACCTCTCTGCTCTGATTGATAATTAACCTATATTGTAGCTATGAACGATCTATCAGTGTGGTGTTGTATGAAGTGAAAGGCTGAAAAACTTCATTGTAGATGAATACATTAGATCTAAAAAATTGTAGATGAATACATTAGATCTAAAAAATTGTAGATGAATACATTAGATCTAAAAAATTGTAGATGAATACATTAGATCTAAAAAATTGTAGATGAATACATTAGATCTAAAAAATTGTAGATGAATACATTAGATCTGAAGTGCAATCCTTTATGTAAACATTTTACCTATCAGTATAAACCAGTACAGTACCAGTATATTTGGTTTACTACATATTGTAGGCCTCTCTGTATTGATTTTTAATTGATACATTTTTATCACCTGTACTTTTATGAAACCTGTTACATTATAATGATCATACATGATATACACAGTTAAAATAGCAATATTAACAGCATTCTAATGGGAAATTTTAATGATTTTTTTATTGTATTTAAAGAACTTGTGTTCTAAGTGGTGTAATGAAATGTTAACTCACTCGTACCAAGATGTTAGCTCAATTTTACAAAGGGACATGAAGAGTTATGGATTTTTTTCAATGAACTCCTGTTTCCTCCTGCAGTAATTAATTATACACTTCAATTTGGGTCAATAAGAGTGATTAAGTTGGACTTATTCATAACTTTATGATTACTTCATAATTGTTGTAAAGAAAGTTTGATTTAAATATCGTCATAATAAAGTCAGATCTTTGAGTAGAAGACCATACAAGTTTATAACTGATCAGAAAGCATTGTCGTTATGGTAATTGATAATTATCCTACTCAGTTTTTCCTTCAGTGATAAATTGTCAGCATGCATAGTGGCCTGTCACAAATCAGTGTCATCGCTGTAGTGACATTTTTTCTTTAGAGTATATAAATTGAGCTGACTTAACATAAAAGTGAAGGTTAGCATTACTTATCAGTAAAAAAAGTTGACTAATCAGTGTTTTATTTTCTTCAGAAATTCTGATGAGACTTGTGTAGATTTTATGCTGAGAATAATCTAAGTTTATTTTGTCAGTTCCTAGTCAAGGTTCAGGTCACTAATCCTACATGTTTATCTAGATGGTCATCAAACATTAAAACAAACATGTCTTGTGACTGAACTACGGGACAGGATTTCATAATAATTTATTAAATGATAAATTTGTATCTAGAAATTTAACAAAATTTTCATTTTCTGTTTTTATCCTTTCAATGACTTGAAGATATAAATGTTCTCTTGGTATGTCTGTTCACCCTTTCACATCACTGCAGCAACTTCATTTTTAGGTCCTCTGACCTGAAGGGTCAAGATGACCTATAGTCATTGTGCTTCGTCCGTCGTCATGTGTCGTGCCTTGTGTGTCGTGTGTAAACTTTTTCTTTAAAACCACTCCTCTTTCATTCCTGGATAATTTCAACCAAATTTGGTCTGATGCATCATTGGGTGAGGAAAATCCTTTTTTGAATTCAGAATTCTGATTTGACCCCTAAGGGTTGAGGGACAGGGTGCTGAAGTTAGATTTAAAACCATACTCCTCCTTTCTGCCAGAGTGGATTTCAACAAGCTTTGGCCTGATTCATCCGTTAGGGTAGTTAATTATTTTATAAATTCAGAAATTTGATTTGACCCCAAGGCACTTTCGGGCTGGGTCCAAAAAGGGAAAATAAGACAATATTTTGCTTCAAAACATTATTCCTCTTTAATGCTTGAATGGATTTCAATCAAATTTGATCTGAAACATCATTGATAGTGGAAAATTAAAATCATTTTTTGAGTTCAGAAAGTTTGTTTGACCCCTATAGACTTTGGGGGCGGGGCCCAAAATTAGGAATAAGACAAATATTTTGCTTGAAAACACTATTTTTTTATGCTTGAATGGATTTCAACCAAATTTGGTCTGAAACATCATTAATAGTGGAACATTTCAGAATTGCTGGATTAATCTTTAGAACTTTTGTCTTCATGGACATTGCTATGTTTTTAAACTTGTACAAAAGTTTAATATGCCCCAATCTAGAATATGCTACTCAGGTATGGTCACCTGTCTGAGTAAAAGATCAGATTGCAATAGAGAATATTCAGCGCAGGGTCACTAAGACAGTTCACTCCATAGAAAACTTACCATATCATGCCAGGTTAAAAAAGCCAGGTCTTCCAACTTTAGATTATAGACGTAAAAGAAACGATATGGTTGAGGTATATAAAATCCTAAACAACATTGACAAAGACAAACTATTTACTATGTCCACAGTCTCTACTAGAGGTAATAGTAAAAAACTTTTCAAGAAGCATAGCAGGACAAATGTCATTAAAGGGACTTTTAGTCGACGGGTAGTGGATCTTTGGAATACTCTCCCTAACACCGTAATAGAAGCCCCTACCCTAAACACTTTTAAGAGAACAAACACTGGCAACAAGTACCGTTCAAGTTTTATCCTAGTGTTTATGTGGCACAACTGGACAACGAGTTGACTACAAAATGCACCTCAATTAGCTGAGATAAGCTAACAAGTGGTGTCTATGTAAAAGTAAAAGGTAACAGGTAACAGAAAATTTATTTGACCCCTAGGGGTCACCAAAAGGTGAAGTTGGGCAATATTTTGCTTCAAAATGCTTCTCTTTCTTAATGCTTGAATGGATTTATTTTAATGCTTGAATGGATTTCAACCAAATTTGGTCTGAAACATCATTAAGAATGGAGTATCATTTCTTGAATTCAGAAATTTGATTCAATCCCAAGGAACTTGTAAGCAGGGCCCCAAAAGGGGGAATTAGTCAATATTTTGCTTCAAAACAATACTTTTCTTTAATGCTTGAATGGATTTCAGTCAAAGTTGGTCTGAAACATCATTAACAGTGGAAAATTATTTTCAAAATTCAGAAAGTTTATTAGATTCCTAGGGACTTTGGGGTGGGGCCCCAAAAGGGGAAGTTTGGCAATATTTTGCTTCAAAATGCTAGTCTTTCTAAATGCTTGAATGGATTTCAACCAAATTTTGTTTGAAACATCTTTGACAGTAGGGAATCATTTCAAAAATTCAGAAAGTTGATCGACCCCTTGTTTATAGGAATGACCTTGATCTGCTTGAAAGGTCACAGGGATCAAATGTGTTGTAATGCTTAAGCAACTTCCTCTCAATAACCGAAAGGCCCAGGATGATGATTTAGTCTTGTAGTATGCTAGGGTGTAGGGCTACCAGCTTTGTTAATATGAATGACATTGACCTTCTTTAAAGGTCAGGGGTTTCAAATGTGTTAAAATGTTTAAATGACTTCTTCTCAATAACCGAAAGGACAAAGGTGCTGATATTGGGCCAATATTCAAGGTCACAAGGGTCAAATGTGTTAAACTGCCTAAGCAACATCTTTTCAGTAACCAAAAGGCCAAGGGTCTTGATATTGGGCCTGTAGCTTGCTTTTTCAACAAGCAATATATCTTTATAGTCACATGACTGTTAAGACCCGCAGGCCTCTTTTTAAACATATTGCATTTTTCAATATTATGATAATAAAACATTTAAATAATTAGATGGGTTTTTTTAAGAACTAATATAACAGGTGAAACAGCTGGAGTCCTGAAGCACTATAGCTAGTCTGTTGGCAAATCTCTGATGAAATATATATATATATATAATGTTATTAACTTATTTGACATTCTGTCGGTCTGTTAGGAATCCTGTATACTGTACATGTGCAGGAATATTTCAGACTGTGGGTATAGCTGTAATATTTTTGAATGTTGGTTTCAGACCATCACTGGGTACCTGATATCTGTCTGAGTGTTGTTTCAGTCTGTATTTACCTGTAATATTTATTTTTTGTTTCAGATTGACTGATATAGGACGTGGGAAAATGATGTTGGGAAGTCTCCTGTTACTTTTTGTCAGTCAGACACTGATTTTCAGCCCTAGTGTAAGTTGTTTATCACTTATGACTTGATAATGGGTCAACTAGAGGTTTTCTTGCTATGTGAGTTTATGGGGAGGGGGCATTAGAATGCACATCATGTACACTATAAAGTTCTATAAGTAAAGTGTGCTTGATATGACAAGATGCCATGGTAAATATGTACCTGATCTTCATACTTAAGTTGTCCATTGTTTTCATGGCCATTGTTTGAACTTATTTACTATTTCTTGGATCTCACTTTGTGTTTAATGCTGTAGGTTGCTGAAATTCCTAAAGACCCTGAGTGTGGCAGCACCAAAGGATGCTTTAGTGGTTGTATTGGAGGCTGTTATGAAGTTTCTTGGAAGGAGGTTGGAGACTCTATGGAGTTCACCCTGAAAGCAGAGGTCACCACAGAAACATATGTTGCCATTGGATTCTCCGATGATGAAAAGATGGTCTGTCCTACATCTGTTGTATCAAATTCAGTAGTTTTTGGGGAAAAAACTGAAAAAATTTGCATTAAATTATTTAAGAAGCATGTAATTTCATTCAATATGGTAAATAATTGATATTTGTAAACTGGCTTTGAGAGGATGTTTCTGGGAATATCTCTCTAAGCCACAAATGTCTTATTTACCAGGCCTTGGATCAGTTGGGTATATACTGTTGGAATACATGGCTTGTAGTGTTTTCGTAAGGTTGCTATCTTGTACATCTATCTGATATCTGTATAAACTTCAGAGTTTTCGTAAGGTTGCCATCTTGTACATCTATCTGATATCTGTATAAACTTCAGAGTTTTCGTAAGGTTGCCATCTTGTACATCTATCTGATATCTGTATAAACTTCAGAGTTTTCGTAAGGTTGCTATCTTGTACATCTATCTGATATCTGTATAAACTTATTTGTCTTAAAATATCAGGGCTTCCAAACAATCTTTTTGTAATTTGTTAGGTATTTTCTCACCGTGACTTGGAATTGTGTTTTCTTGAAAACATTTTGATTTTTATTTAAAAGCATCTTAATCTTGCCCACAGATTTTCTCTCTCAGTTTTTCTTGGAAACTTTAAGGACTTTATAACTGTAATACGGTGTTAAACAACACTATGTTATTGACGTTTATTATTTTCAAGTTTTTAATCTTGTCCAGAAATTTCTTCCGATGATCTATTTAATTTTGGTATGCTTCAAGATAACAACAGATATTACTATTATCAGCTGCATTGATCAGCTTCAGAAGACTTACTGCTCTTTGATTTCTTTAGAATTCAACAAATTTCTTTGAAATGTTGCAGGCTTAATCATAATCACATGAAAAGGAAAGTTTTGTTTCATTTTGATATTCATATTGATTAACTTTGGTCTGATAATTTATTATCCGTGGCGGCCACGGAGGGGATGTAACGTACTATTCGTAAATATGTTCACTTTTTGTCATCTTACTTTCTCCCCCGATTTTAACTTCACATATTTGTCAACTATCATGATACTTTGAACGAGTTTGTGTTTCAACATGCCAGGGTCAACGTTAAGGTCACCATTACTATTTATAGAAAATTTCAGATGCAACACAACTTCATTATAAATGGGAGCAAGGGGATTTGATTCATAAGCCTTGTTTCTATTTGGCTTTAAATTATGTAATTGTTTTGCCCTTTAATTACCTCTTTTAAGGTCTCCTGGTCTCTTGTGGCCAAATATATAATGTTACCTCTCTGTAGGGCGGTGACAGTGTTGTCGGATGCATCAACAGTGGTGGAACGGTACAAGTCTACAACGCTTTCAATGCGGCAGGTGCAAAATTCAACCAGCCCATCACAAACGTAAGTCAAGTCATTATTACTGTACTGATGGATAATGCAGAATTTTGTCAAGTTTGAATGTATCTGATTTAATTGATGTCTCCTGGGTCAGAGTGACTCCTGGGTCAGTGTGTCTCCTTGGTCAGTGTGTCTCCTGGATCAGTGTGTCTCCTGGGTTAGTGTGTCTCCTGGGTCAGTGTGTCTCTTGAGTCAGTGTGTCTCCTGGGTCAGTGTGTCTCCTGGGTCAGTGGGTCTCCTGGGTCAGTGTGTCTCCTACGTTAGTGTGTCTCCTGTGTCCCCCTTGTGATCATGTGTACAAGACTTTATATATAAACGGCTCACATAAATACTGTGGCTTTTTTTGTCATGTAACAGTTGTTTTGTTTATTTTTAGAACAAACTTGGATTGAGTGCCGAGTCAGGATCAGTGGCCAGTGGAGTATTCACCTGCAGTTTTACACGCAAGACTGTGTCAACAGACAGTCAGATCTACAACCTAAATAATGATTATTATATATTACTGGCCAAGGGTCCAGCAGCAGGCAGTAAGGATTTATCTACTCTACCACGATACTGAATTGGTTACCAAGTTATAGCTATAGACACCATGGTTCCCAAATGATTAAAGTTGGATGTTTGAAACATCAGACCATGAAGTGTTTTGGCAATACATGCATGGTTCTTTGGTATGAATTATATGAAGTCATTTCTTTTCAAAGATCATGTACATATTGTGTATCCTATAGATTCACAAGGCTTATGTAAACAAGATACACTGGGGAACCTTGAAGGTAACATTACAGACTATAGAGATATATGTTGAATTAGCTGACAGAATAGATTTACTGTAGTCCATTATATATGTATATGAGGAGATATGTCCTGATCTGCTTGCCCTGATGTTAGGTTCATGTTAGAGTCTGGTTTAGATAGGAAAACACTTTTAGTTAGAATTCTAAACATGACATCACTCATGTGGCTCTTTGGTCTTGTTTCATTGAGTTTCTTTTTCTTAGCTGCTTTTGGCCGACATGATCTCACCAACCTGCCACTGGTGTCCGCACAGATGGCAGATTTCCAGTCAACCACTGATCTGACAGGAAGCGCTGTAAACATCCTGCTTAAACTCCATGGTAACATTCATATCTATGTTAGTCAAACTTAATGGTAACATTCATGTTTATGTTAGTCAAATTCAAAGGTAAAATTTGTGTGTATATTAATCAAACTCCATGGTTACAGTTCTGTGTATTTTAGTCTTACCTTACATCCAACTTCCATTAGCTCATCTTGGCTAGCCTTTGGTGTCCTGGGTCATACAGGACTTGACCTACAAATAAATGTTAGCCTAGCTATTGCCCTAAATTTCTCATCATTTCAAAAACTTTTTGACCAGTGAAATGATAAATGTTATCATATAGTTCTCAAATAGATGGTTCAGAATTCAGAAGTTGGAAGACTTAATATGAGAAACAAAATGATATAAATTATACAGAATGTGAATTAAGGGTATGATGAGTTGTGTTTTATAGCATTGTCCATCTGTTTGGTCTGCTGTAAACTATTATCTAGTAACGACAGTAACTGTAGTGATAACGGTTACCATAGTGATAACGGTTACCGTAGTGACAACAACAACGGTAACTGTAGTTACCCTGGTATTTGTAGTGACAATGGTAACCATAGTGACAATGGTAACTGTAGTGACAAAGGTAAGGAGGCTACAAATGACAAAATAGGTTAACTGGTATTTCAGGCTGTCACAGATAAATATTGAAATGTGTTAAAAATATACGTTTTCAAGAAAACAAATATCTGCATATTTCTTTCACCAATTATAAATTTGAACCTATCAAGGACACAAACTTTTATGAAATCAATATTAAGCTCTATGGATGGATGTAACAGAATCCTTGTTGCTCCTTGGCTGACTGAGTTGCACAAGTCCTTACATCTGATCTTTTTCACACTTTGTCGGATAAATCACCATAACATGGAGTTGTGTTCTCATTAATATCTCATTAATATCTCATTAATATCTCTTTAATATCTCTTTGAATTAACTGTTTTTGGATGATAACCTTGTAACTTAAAAAAGTATCAGGACACTGTGAACAAAAGCACTACTGTACATCTTAAATCATCTTTTTGTGACTGTGAGGATAGATTGGGGGACATTTGTAAACTTTTACGACGTAGTCTAATATTTACAGGTGGGTTGATGATACTTGCCTTGTTGATTTGCAGGATGTTTGATGATATTTGCGTGGATATTTTTGGCGAGTATTGGAATCGTCCTGGCCAGATTCTATAAACCTGTCTGGACTGATAAGAAGATGCTTGGAGAAGCTTACTGGTTCCAGGTTTGTAAAACAAGTGTTTCTAGTTATAAAGTTTAAACCACTTTGGGTTGATAAATAAGATTTGCAAGAAGATTCCTGCTTGTAACATCTGACAGATGTGATAAATGTAGTGTATTTGTAACTGGATGTGACAATGGCTTGATCTGTTTACAGCATGTTGTCTCAATGTCCTACTTATGTCACAGGCAATGCTACAGGAGATTAAACATATTTTTCATTGCTGTATAATATTTACTATTCATTTATTGATAAATAATATTGCAATATTTTGGCGGTGAAGTAGGTTGTAGTTTCTGTGATGTTTTACAGTTACACAGATCTTTGATGGTCCTGGCAACGTTAGCTGTCATCGCTGGAATAGTGGTCATATTTGTAGACGTCGGCAAGTGGAGTCAGGTATGTAAAATAAATTTTTTACATTGTTCATGTAGAAAGTTGCATGTTGTGATTGCCCTCAACCCCAACTTCTTAAAACATTATTTATTTTATAAGCTCAACCTGTCCAAACAACTCTGGGACTAAAACCTTGATGTGGAATCTGTTGTTTACCTGCTCTTTCATCTGTTCATCTGTCAATTTCTTCAATATGCTGGTTATTTTTAGATATCAATGTAGGATTATGCTTTATACACTGTTTCACTGGTAGGACCTTAGTTATTATGACACGTCCTTAGGGGAGGAATATCATATCCCTGTGTTTGTCCAAAGCCTGTATATCAGGCTGCCTGGCATCATTTTTGTCTGGAGCATAACACATAAGCTTCATAGATAGAGAGACGTATCAACTTAAAACTTCATAGATAGACAGATGTATTAACATAAAACTTCATAGATAGACAGATGTATTAACATAAAACTTCATAGATAGACAGATACTTCATAGATAGACAGATGTATTAACATAAAACTTCATAAAACTTCATAGATAGACAGATGTATAACATAAAACTTCATAAAGACTTCACAGATTTATTAACATAAAACTTCATAATAGACAGATGTATTAACATAAAACTTCATAGATAGACAGATGTATTAACATAAAACTTCATAGATAGACAGATGTATTAACATAAAACTTCATAGACAGATGATAGACAGATGTATTAACATAAAACTTCATAGATAGACAGATGTATTAACATAAAACTTCATAGATAGACAGATGTATTAACATAAAACTTCATAGATAGACAGATGTATTAACATAAAACTTCATAAGTAGACAGATGTATTAACATAAAACTTCATAGATAGACAGATGTATTAACATAAAACTTCATAGATAGACAGATGTATTAACATAAAACTTCATAGATAGACAGATGTATTAACATAAAACTTCATAGATAGACAGATGTATTAACATAAAACTTCATAGATAGACAGATGTATTAACAGATGTATTAACATAAAACTTCATAGATAGACAGATGTATTAACATAAAACTTCATAGATAGACAGATGTAGTAACATAAAACTTCATAGATAGACAGATGTATTAACATAAAACTTCATAGATAGACAGATGTATTATCATAAAACTTCATAGATAGACAGATGTATTAACATAAAACTTCATAGAGATGTATTAACATAAAACTTCATAGATAGACAGATGTATTAACATAAAACTTCATAAGTAGATAGATCTCAACAAGGAGAAGTGTAATGTACCAGAGCCATGACTCTTTTTTGCAAAAGTTTGGAGTTATTGACCTTTGTTATTTTTCATTCTTCAATTTTGTTTGAAGCCTTACACTAAAATTATTAGAGGTATCAACATGAAACTTAATAGGTAGGTAGATCTCAACAAGAATTAGGGCTGTGCACAAGAATCATAACTCTCATATTACATTTTGTTATTTTCCATACTTAAATTTGAACATGTCTCTGACGCCTCTTGCTTTGAATTTAAGTCTGGATTATGATTCTTTCCACATGTTGGTATTTTCTTATTGTTCTTGTGATTCTATTTAAACTATGTTGTCGATACAGGCCCTATAGAACTTTTGTGGTGTGTAGTTTAAGTACTAATGTTATTGGAATGACTTTTTATTTGTTTTCCTGAAATATTTAACCATGATTTGCTTGTAGCTTATTGGTCAGGAGGAATGGAAGAGAGCTCATCCTTATATTGGTATTGTTGTAGGAGCCGTGGTGATCATTAATGTGAGTATTTCATACTCCTACCTCATAAGTGCTGATTATCATTCAGTAGTAGTTACTTTCTAATTTTATCACAGAAAGTCGCAAGATATCACAAGCTTTTGACCTCTGTTTATCATATTTCAGTGCCTTTGACCTCTGTTTATCATATTTCAGTGCCTTTGACCTCTGTTTATCATATTTCAGTCCCTTATGACCTCTGTTTGTCATATTTCAGTCCCTTATGACCTCTGTTTATCACATTTCAGTCCCTTATGGCCTCTGTTTATCACGTTTCAGCCCCTTATGGCCTCTGTTTATCATGTTTCAGCCCCTTATGGCCTCTGTTTATCATGTTTCAGCCCCTTATGGCCGTGTTCAGACCACATCCAGGTGATGACTATCGTTATATATTTAACTGGGCCCATTGGGCTGTTGGAACTATTGGACACTTTCTGGCTGGTAAGTTGGAGACGTCCTTGTGCCTTCAAAAGACCAGATATTTTTCTGTCTCCAGAAACAAGAAATGTTTTTTTTAATTCTATGATATACTCAACAAAAAATGAAGGCACAAAGTTCTACCCTGTAGTACACCTTAGCTGTCAGTAAATAATGGAATATTTGGTCAGGTATTACATCTACAATGATCTAGTTTTCCAGCAAGACATTGCTCAAACAGATGTTGCCAGAGTCTGTTGTAATTTTCTCACGGCAAACAACGTTCAGCCTCTGGAATGACCCCCATATAGCCCCATCATGTTGCCCATTGAGCATTTGTGTGATGAGGTAGACAGGTGTATTAGGAAACATCAAAAAAAACCTAACTAACAGTGCCCAGTTGATCGCAGAATGGAACAACATTCCCTTAAGGCGAATTAATGTTCTCATGAATTCAATGCATAGGAGAATCCATGCAGTGATTTGTGCAAGTGGTGCCCATACCAGGTACTGAAGTGCCATTTTTAGCAGGTATCCCACTTTGAGTAACTACTGATGAGACGAGTGACGTCACACAGACTTTTCTTCTACAGTATTGTAATAAGTAAACTTCAAATTTGATATAAAATTTTGTACAAATTTCCCAAAATATGGTAGGTTCTTGATTGCGTGATTTAATTGTGCATTTCTGTTTTTGTTGTGTATAGTTTGTTCTCAAAATAAATCTGTTACAGAAGGTATTGAAGGCTAGATCACACAATAGCAAGTCCTTGTAGCAACTTATCATATAAATAGTTAGAAGTGTTGGGTGTTCTTGTGGTGTTTAAAAACACTTATATCAATAGTGACTTGTCAAATTTATGTCTTTTTAATTAACACAATTTTGTCCTTCTTTCAGATATGGATGATTTTGTGAAATGCTTGAATTTTGTTTATATTAGAATGTAGTTGTATTTTTCATGGTCAGTTGTTGAGAACTTTTGTGTTTCAGTTTTCAATGTTTTCATTGGAGTGGAGCTACCAGCGACAAAGGCACCATCTTGGCTGATTATAGTACTGGCTGTGTACGTAGGTTATCAGATTCTGTTCGAGGTCTTCCTCGAAATTTACGATAACTGTTGCATTGGAGAAACAAAGAGTAAGTTATACTTTTTATCCTTATTTATCGTTTATTTATTCATTTATGCTAAACCCTTGTGTTCTAGCTAGCTATGCTCTTAGCTAATGGAATTTTTTTTGGTTTTTTTTCCCAAAATATTGAAAGAGTTTTATTGTTACTTTTCAACACTGTTATTTTTCCGGTCATCTGACCCAAAGGGTCATGATGACCTATAGCCATCAAGCTTTGTCTGTCATCGTCCACCATGAGCTGTGCCCCATCCGTTATCTGCCATGCGTAAACTTTTGGCATTTTCGGATTGAGCTCAAACTTGCATGAAATGATCCTGAGATTTTCCTGAACGAATTGTTGTTTTTTTTGGGGTATGTCTTAAGTCAAAGATGGGTGCCATGGTTGCCGTCTTGAAAAACATATTCTTAATTTCTTTTCTTGTACCACTGGCTCCATTTAACTAAAAATTGGAGGGAATTTTAAGGAAAGGTAGCCAACAAAGTGTTGTTATTTTCCGAACTTGTCAAAACTTTGATACAGCAGCCAGGGAGGCTGATTGCACAATCATGGTTTTCCTGTGTAACATTTATTTCAAACTTCTTCTTAAGTTTCACCAGTTGCATTGAGCTCCAAATTTAATGTCAAAAAATAGGTAACGCTTGTTACAGTTACCTACTCCTCACCAAAACCACCATCTGTATCATGGAAAACAGCTTCTAAATATAATTTCATTCAAAGTAGAAAAAAGAACCCTTCTCCCTGCTGAGATGTTACTTTGTATAGATTTTTAGGCCATAACACAATAATACAAAATCCATGCTTTAAACACAATGCAGGGAAAATCATCAGAAACAGTGCAAGTTATCTGGTATTGAAAATGTTGAGACTTAATCAGCTTAACATATCATAAACATTTCCATCATGAGGAAGAAATGACTTCTGTCAGCATCTGTTACATATATAGATCTACTTCATACTCAGGTCATCACATCGTTGTTTTCTTATTTCCTTGAGGCCTAACATTATTTGGTTTTCCAAAAGCGACCTTCATTCTGAAACTCTACGTTTCTTACCTCATCCAAGAATATAGGTCCAACAGATAGTTTTTGATTGTCTCAACATTTGGTTTCACCTGCTGTGTGTATCAGATATATAAAAATCAGATTTGTCGAGTGACGTTGATTCTCCGTGAAGGTCACCTGAAATTGATTACAGATCACTTATACAGAACAATGAGACAGGAATTAATCTGAACCAGTATTGGGAAAAAACCATTTTAATTTTGTGACTGACCAGATAAAGGTGTGGTCCTGATTTCCATTGTTTATGTGTCTGTCTGCTTGAACAATCTTGCACATTTCCGACCATTTCTATGGAAATGTACACATATCCTATCTCCGCCCACATGTTGCACTTAATTCAACAATTCTTGTCAGAAGTAAAAGTTACATTGTTGAGTATAAGACATTTCCAATCGACTGTCAGAAGTAAAAGTTACAGTGATTGTTGCCATGGTGACAGATAATAAGACATTTCCAAGTGGTTGTCAGAAGTAAAAGTTACATTGTTGAGGATAAGACATTGTCAGAAGTAAAAGTTACAAGTGACATTTCCAAGTGACTGTCAGAAGTAAAAGTTACATTGTTGAGGTAGATAAGACATTTCCAATCGACTGTAAAAGTTACATTGTTGAGGATAAGACAACTGTCAGAAGTAAAAGTTACATTGTTGACTTTAATCAATTCAGACATTTCCAAGTGGTTGTCAGAAGTAAAAGTTACATTGTTGAGTATAAGACATATCCAAGTGGTTGTCAGAAGTAAAAGTTACATTGTTGAGTATAAGACATATCCAAGTGGTTGTCAGAAGTAAAAGTTACATTGTTGAGTATAAGACATTTCCAAGTGGTTGTCAGAAGTAAAAGTTACATTGTAGTGAGTAAAATATACATTGTTGTAAGACATTTCCAAGTGACTGTCAGAAGTAAAAGTTACATTGTTGAGGATAAGACATTTCCAAGTGACTGTCAGAAGTAAAAGTTACATTGTTGAGGATAAGACATTTCCAAGTGACTGTCAGAAGTAAAAGTTACATTGTTGAGGATAAGACATTTCCAAGTGACTGTCAGAAGTAAAAGTTACATTGTTGAGGATAAGACATTTCCAAGTGGTTGTCAGAAGTAAAAGTTACATTGTTGAGGATAAGACATTTCCAAGTGGTTGTCAGAAGTAAAAGTTACATTGTTGAGGATAAGACATTTCCGATCGACTGTCAGAAGTAAAAGTTACATTGTTGAGGATAAGACATTTCCAAGTGACTGTCAGAAGTAAAAGTTACATTGTTGAGGATAAGACATTTCCAAGTGGTTGTCAGAAGTAAAAGTTACATTGTTGAGGATAAGACATTTCCAAGTGGTTGTCAGAAGTAAAAGTTACATTGTTGAGGATAAGACATTTCCAAGTGGTTGTCAGAAGTAAAAGTTACATTGTTGAGGATAAGACATTTCCAAGTGGTTGTCAGAAGTAAAAGTTACATTGTTGAGGATAAGACATTTCCAAGTGGTTGTCAGAAGTAAAAGTTACATTGTTGAGGATAAGACATTTCCAAGTGACTGTCAGAAGTAAAAGTTACATTGTTGAGGATAAGACATTTCCAAGTGGTTGTCAGAAGTAAAAGTTACATTGTTGAGGATAAGACATTTCCAAGTGGTTGTCAGAAGTAAAAGTTACATTGTTGAGGATAAGACATTTCCAAGTGACTGTCAGAAGTAAAAGTTACATTGTTGAGTATAAGACATTTCCGATCGACTGTCAGAAGTAAAAGTTACATTGTTGAGGATAAGACAAGTGGTTGTCAGAAGTAAAAGTTACATTGTGGTACGACTGTCAGAAGTAAAAGTTACATTGTTGAGGATAAGACATTTCCAAGTGGTTGTCAGAAGTAAAAGTTACATTGTTGAGTATAAGACATTTCCAAGTGGTTGTCAGAAGTAAAAGTTACATTGTTGAGGATAAGACATTTCCAAGTGGTTGTCAGAAGTAAAAGTTACATTGTTGAGGATAAGACATTTCCAAGTGACTGTCAGAAGTAAAAGTTACATTGTTGAGGATAAGACATTTCCAAGTGGTTGTCAGAAGTAAAAGTTACATTGTTGAGGATAAGACATTTCCAAGTGGTTGTCAGAAGTAAAAGTTACATTGTTGAGGATAAGACATTTCCAAGTGACTGTCAGAAGTAAAAGTTACATTGTTGAGGATAAGACATTTCCAAGTGACTGTCAGAAGTAAAAGTTACATTGTTGAGGATAAGACATTTCCAAGTGGTTGTCAGAAGTAAAAGTTACATTGTTGAGGATAAGACATTTCCAAGTGGTTGTCAGAAGTAAAAGTTACATTGTTGAGGATAAGACATTTCCAAGTGACTGTCAGAAGTAAAAGTTACATTGTTGAGGATAAGACATTTCCAAGTGACTGTCAGAAGTAAAAGTTACATTGTTGAGGATAAGACATTTCCAAGTGACTGTCAGAAGTAAAAGTTACATTGTTGAGGATAAGACATTTCCAAGTGACTGTCAGAAGTAAAAGTTACATTGTTGAGGATAAGACATTTCCAAGTGGTTGTCAGAAGTAAAAGTTACATTGTTGAGGATAAGACATTTCCAAGTGACTGTCAGAAGTAAAAGTTACATTGTTGAGGATAAGACATTTCCGATCGACTGTCAGAAGTAAAAGTTACATTGTTGAGGATAAGACATTTCCAAGTGACTGTCAGAAGTAAAAGTTACATTGTTGAGTATAAGACATTTCCGATCGACTGTCAGAAGTAAAAGTTACATTGTTGAGGATAAGACATTTCCAAGTGACTGTCAGAAGTAAAAGTTACATTGTTGAGTATAAGACATTTCCGATCGACTGTCAGAAGTAAAAGTTACATTGTTGAGGATAAGACATTTCCAAGTGACTGTCAGAAGTAAAAGTTACATTGTTGAGGATAAGACATTTCCAAGTGACTGTCAGAAGTAAAAGTTACATTGTTGAGGATAAGACATTTCCAAGTGACTGTCAGAAGTAAAAGTTACAAGTGACTGTCAGAAGTAAAAGTTACATTGTTGAGGATAAGACATTTCCAAGTGACTGTCAGAAGTAAAAGTTACATTGTTGAGGATAAGACATTTCCAATCGACTGTCAGAAGTAAAAGTTACATTGTTGAGGATAAGACATTTCCAAGTGGTTGTCAGAAGTAAAAGTTACATTGTTGAGGATAAGACATTTCCAAGTGGTTGTCAGAAGTAAAAGTTACATTGTTGAGGATAAGACATTTCCAAGTGGTTGTCAGAAGTAAAAGTTACATTGTTGAGGATAAGACATTTCCAAGTGGTTGTCAGAAGTAAAAGTTACATTGTTGAGGATAAGACATTTCCAAGTGGTTGTCAGAAGTAAAAGTTACATTGTTGAGGATAAGACATTTCCAAGTGGTTGTCAGAAGTAAAAGTTACATTGTTGAGGATAAGACATTTCCAAGTGACTGTCAGAAGTAAAAGTTACATTGTTGAGGATAAGACATTTCCAAGTGACTGTCAGAAGTAAAAGTTACATTGTTGAGTATAAGACATTTCCGATCGACTGTCAGAAGTAAAAGTTACATTGTTGAGGATAAGACATTTCCAAGTGGTTGTCAGAAGTAAAAGTTACATTGTTGAGTATAAGACATTTCCAAGTGACTGTCAGAAGTAAAAGTTACATTGTTGAGGATAAGACATTTCCAAGTGACTGTCAGAAGTAAAAGTTACATTGTTGAGGATAAGACATTTCCAAGTGGTTGTCAGAAGTAAAAGTTACATTGTTGAGTATAAGACATATCCAAGTGGTTGTCAGAAGTAAAAGTTACATTGTTGAGGATAAGACATTTCCAAGTGGTTGTCAGAAGTAAAAGTTACATTGTTGAGGATAAGACATTTCCAAGTGGTTGTCAGAAGTAAAAGTTACATTGTTGAGGATAAGACATTTCCAATCGACTGTCAGAAGTA